CAAATCTCTTACCAACTCATGGCACTAGTAATTTAGCAAACAAAAACTCGCGCAAACAAAGACAAAACACTGAAGCAAAAACAGGCGCGCATGCCGTTGGGCCTGCCGAGATGTCCCACGTTCAAAGGATCAATCGGCACGTCTCTAAAGCTTTCAGCTGTGGTGCCTCCTTCAAGGACGCCTCCCACCAAAGGTTTATAGCTTCTACTATAGCCTTTCAACTCAGCAAGTATCTCATATCTTCACATCCCGGGCACTGCGGCAGCCCAAAACAAGTTCTGCAGATGGGCGCACAAATCCTTTCTGCTGCAGCGCCGTCTGCAAGTGGATCCGTCATGATCCGCCCCCTTGGCTCCTCCGTACGAGGCGCAAAACTTGCAATGTTTAGGGCTTACTTGGAGCAGTCAACCGACTCGTCGCCGGGCTGCCCGGCCAGAGCCGCGCCCAGGACTGAGCCGAAGGCGATCAGAAAAGCGAGGATTTGGCGCGCCAGGACGGCCGGGACCTTGCCCTCCCCAACCTCGGCATCTGAGTCTGAAGGCGTGTTTCCTGTTGGTGTGCCCTTAAAACCCGGCGGCCGAAACGGTGGGCTCAGGCGTCTGGCAGACCCACAGCATTGACGATCTCTTTTCTCTACTGCAATGCCAGAACTGGAATGCATCAAACAACGCAGGCCCAGGTAATGGACCCAATCTGAAGGGCTGCTAATGAGTTGATGGATAATTACTTAAAGAACTCTGGGTATAAACCTTCCCACCCCCCCACGTACGGCCCGGCATTTTGATGACGATTTTGCCCGAAAACATGGAACAACACTGTGTGTTTGACCTCATGTTTGCGAACATGTTAAAAGCTACTGTGTTTTTCCCGAAAAAATACCGGGGAATGAAGAGGAAATCAAGGACAAGAAGGGGACAGGAAGTGGAAATGACACAAAGGGAGATGCAGGGAAATGACTGGCAATGAAAGGGACATGCATGGAAAATGAAACGGACATACCGAGAAAATGACACGCAAATAAAGGGGAAATTGAGAGAAAAGGAAGCGAGGGAAATAACGGGGGAATTGAGAAAAGGAAGGGGGCACGACGAGGAAATCACGGGAAATGACGGGACATGAAAAGGACATGAACGGGAAAACAAGGGGGAAGCCAACAGCAAGAAGACAATTCAGGGCACGGAAGTCGAGGCAACTTCGGGGGACATGACGCTGCAACGCAAACAGAGAGAGAGAGAGAGAGAGAGAGAGAGAGAGAGAGAGAGAGAGGCAGAGAGAGAGAGAGAGATGGAGAGACAGAGAGAGAGAGAGAGCGACAAAGAGAGAGAGACGTTAAAATCGGTGGCTACTTTGCTTCCAAGTGCAAGTGCTGTAGTGTTCAAACAAACAGTCAACCGATTGTAGTCTGCAGCAATCCACCTTTTACACATGCGATGTAGTGAGCTCTGCAGTACATGCAACACAAATGCAGGAAGTGAGGCATGTAGTTTGACACGGCTCCTCAGTTAAAAGGTCTTTGTAGTACCTTTTCAACTGAAGTGCAAAACATGGATTGACAGTAGTGATGAAAACCATTGTTGTTCATCAATTCTACTGTAGTGACAAAAGTAGTAACCTGCACTCAGTAGTTCTCGCTGTTCAGGTTCCAGCTCGATGTAGTGCGCTGGACGGAAGTAGTGAGGCAGGCACTTGTTGTTGTAGTAGAGCATGTGCTCAAAGATGTAGTCCCCAGTTCTGGGTGCGGTAGTCTTGGACCTTCTGTAGTCGACTGTCCAAGGTCGCAAAGTAGTGCGTGGTGAAAAAGGTTGTGATGTAGTTTGGTGCTCCTCGTAGTCGCTCATCGTCGATTTCGGGACATGACATGTGCTGGTTGTAGTCCCTGAGGAAGCTAGTGTCTTGTGGTGTTGTGTGAGGTTTGTCATGGTGAGTAGTGTAAATCCGTAGTACTGGATACTCTTGCAGAGAATTGTAGTGATTGCCTTGTGTTGGTAGTCGTGGAGTTGGTCTCTGTTGTAGAGGTAGTGGAGTAGCTCAGGTAGTAGTAGTGGCATGTGGTAGTTCCAAAGATAGTTGTTCCTGAGGCTGTAGTTGTCGGTGAAGATGGTCATGTTGTAGTTCACCTTGTAGATGGTCTGTGGCATTGGTGTAGTTGGGAGGTATTAGTTCTGTTGTACCGACATCATGTAGGAAATGTAGTCTCTGGTGAAGTGGATAAATTGTCCTGAAGTGAGGTACCTCAGGAGTAGTGGTTGTTCAATCTGCAGTTGGATGATGACGTAGTTGTTGTTGTCGCCGGTTGTAGTGTGAAGGGAAGTCGTATGGTAGTAGTGCACGTTGGCTGCTTCAGGTAGTGAAACGCTGAGCAGGGTGGAGTTGTAGTGGGGCATCCGAAGGTCTCCAGGGATGCAGTAGATGGGTTGTGTGTAGTCCAGTTGTGCAAGTGGAGTTGCTTGTTGATGTGAAAGTAGTTGATACTCTTCGAGTGTGAGTGCAGTGAAAAACTGTGCGTAGGGTGTGTTGTCGGGCAGTGGTGGTGTAGCGGTTGTCTGGTGCTCAGTGATGTGTAGTTGGTCCATCACTGTGGTCGGGTTGTAGTAGACTGTGTTGCCAGGTGTAGGATGGTTGAAGTGGTAGTTGGAGTCGTTGTATGTTTGAGGTGGTGGAGTTCCATGGTCGTTGGAGTCCGTAGTGACAGTCACCTCCGGTGTAGACGCCCTGTCGGGTGTAGTCGCATCTCCCATCGTAGCATCTGCAGTAGATGGAGCGGCCATGGCTGCAGTGGAGTGCGAATGTAATGAAACGGGGCAAAAACAAAATGAGCCTGAGTAGTTGCTATCAGGCAGGCGGCGCATGCAGACATGTAAAACAAACAACTGTAGTGTTGACTCAGCCGCCAAAAGTGCAAGTGCAAATGCATGTAGTTACTGTTACTTACATACCAAAAGTGTCGTGTTACATGTAGCTACTTACATACATGAAATGTCCAAAGTCGTTGTTGTTGTTGTTGTGAAACTGCTGCGCTGGTCGTTCGTAGTGCTAAATGTGTATTCCAATGCTCTGGATGAGCCTGTGTAGCGTTTCTTTGCTGATGTATTTGGTAAACAAATCTGCGCTGTTGTGGAGTGTGTTGATCTCAAGGATTCTGATGATGTCATGCTTGATGAGGTCTTGTGTGTAGAGAAATTTAAGGTCGATGTGTGTTTGCTCGTTTGTTTGTGCCTTGTCGTGTAGCAATGCTCTTGCCTGCTGTGGAGTCTGTGTGGATGCGTAGGTTTAGCTTGCTGCAAATGTTGGTTTCAAGTAGGAAGTTTCTGAGGTGTAGTCCCTCATTAACTCCTGTGCAAATGGCGTAGAGTTCAGACTCTGCTGAGCTGAGTGCTATTGTAGCTTGCGTTCTGCTGCCAAATGCAACTGTTGTTCCTAAAAAGATGATGTTGAAACCTGAAGTTGATTTCCTGGTAGTAGGGCATCCTGCCCAGTCGGCATCGACATGAACGTCGAGTTCCAGGATGTTGTTGGTGTTTGCTCTGAATGTTGTTGTTGGTTCTATGGTGAATTTGTAGTGCTTGGTGCCGTGCGAGTAGCGTAGTAGATGTTTGACTCTCTTTTGTGAAAGTTCTGTAGGTGCTGTGAGGTCTCGTGCTAGTTCTTTTGTGGAGTATGCAATGTCTGGTCGTGTGTATGCTAACCATTGAAGTTTGCCAACAATCCTTCTGTACCTTTTGTGTTGTTCGTGGTCAAGTAGTGCTTCATCTTCTATTGTTGGTTTGTAGTGTGCAATTCCTGGAGTGTTCACTGAGTTGCAGTTGTTCATTCCAGACTCCTCGATCATGTTGTCGATGTAGGAGTCCTTTTGTCCAAGATTGCAGTAGTTGCCAAAGTGGTCGATGTTTCTTCCAAGAAATTGTTGTGGTTTGCCAGGTTCGAGGTAGCCGATGTGCTTGAGTAGGACCTGCTTCTGGATGGCCTCGAAGGTGGAGTCGACAGTAGTCTTGTCACCAAGTACCAAGAGGTCATCCACGTAGACCATGATGTAGCAGTCGCGAGTCGCATTGGTGTAGACGTTAGGTTCTGACTTTAGTCTTACAAAGCTGAGCTTTTGTAACACTTCAGCCAGGTAGTCCTGCCATGCTTTTGGTGAACTGCGTAGTCCATACATGGCTTTCTTTAGTCGCCAGATTTTGTCCTGTTGTGGACAAAGTTCTTTAGGTGGCCAAAGGTAGACGTCACGTTGTTTACCGTCGTGGTCTTTTGCGATGGGTGCGTGTAGAAATGCTGTAGAGACGTCACCTAGTCGCGCGATCCAGTTTGGTCGTGACATTTGTAGTGCGAGAAGTGTCCGGAGTGTCGTGAACATTGGTGTAGAGGCGTAGACGGAGTCTTCGTCCTCGATCTTCTCTGTGTAGCCTTTTGCGACGATTCGGCTTCGTACTCCTGGTCCTTTCTTTCTGTGTACCCATCTTGTAGGTATCGCTTCTCTGATGACGTTGTCGTCGACGGTAGACGCATCTACTTCGTCGTAGACGTCATGTAGCTTCATTTGGAATTTGACTCGTGTTTCATTCCTTCCAGTAGTTGTGTTTCGTCGTAACCTTCGTTGTCGAAGATTATGGGTTGGTCTTCTGAGGTGTCGTCGTTTGTGTAGGGGGTGATGGATTTGCCGTTGGGAAGTGTCACTGCGTTGATTTTCTGTCGTAGTGGTGGTGGTTCTTTGGTTGCTTGCTCCGTTGATCTGATTGTAGTGTCCTTTGAGGTCTTCTGTGCTTTAGTTGGTTGCATTACTTCTTCCGGAGTTAAACGTCGTAGTGTTTGTCGAGGTGGTGCTGGTAGTGGTGGATGTTGTCGTCCGGTTGGTGAAGTAGCCATAGGACTATCCGGTAGTGGTCGTGAACTTGACGTCGATGTGGACGGAAGTCGTGGAGGTGGTGTAGCGCGTTGTTGTTTTGTTGCGGGTTCCGCAACGATGTCGTCCGTAGCGTTCGTTTGTTGTCCGAATTCTTGCGTGGACCTTCTTTTCTCTGACGGTTGTAGTTGCGTGTCCAACAGTGTTGCGAACGATGGGTTGTAGGTGTTCCGTCGTGGTGCCCATGGTGCGCCGGAAACTTTGTTCAACAGTGCGAGGTCGTATTTGAAGTCCGGTTGTAGTCTCCGTACTGTTCGTAACTTTTGTACGCCTGATTCCGTTGCGACGTAGTTTTCTCCGGTTTCGGAAACTTTTCCGAGCCAGATGCATTTTTCTGCATCCGCAGGTCTGCTTTTGGAAGTTTCTTGTGTTGTGGTGGAAGGTAAAGTAGTGTCTCGCCAAATTCGCAGATTGCTCGCTCGTAGTTTCTTCCCCAGCGGCGTTCAAAGCTTGTGTAGCCGTCTGAGTGAATGACGTAGCGATGTACCTACTATCAAAGGTAGTAGACAGTGCTTTGTGGACATCGTCATGCTGTAGTTGCTTTCAACCTGAGCTTTGACGACGCGGATTTGTCCGAGAAGTGTTCTATGTAGTCGCTCAACGCTTCCTTGACTATTACTACTGTAGGATGGTGAATGTCGTACAGTCATTGAGCCAACTTTAGATGCTGTTGCTTTTAGTAGTGCATTGAGTGTGTCTTCGTTGTCGCTTTGTAGTATGCCTTGTGTTCTTCCGCATTCAAAGATGAATGCTTGTAGGTTGTTGATCATGTAGTCCATCATTGATGGTTTGTCCGGAACCAATACCGCCATGCACAGTTGTGTAGTAACATCAACTGCTGTTAAGACTGGTATGGTCTTCGGATCTTGTTGTGATTTCATGTATGCAAAATCCACTTGCATGATGGATTTTAAAAGAATTGTTGTTTCTTGTAGTTGTCCTGGCGTCCTTTTCCTTGAACGCAAATTGGACACCAAATTCTGTATGGTAGGTGTGTCAAGTTGTGTTCTGCTATTTGTTGTGGAGCGGGCTGCTGCGGTTGTCGTAGTCCTCTTGCTCTGTGTGCTTCATGATGCTCGTGTTGTTGTTCCTCATCGTGGTTCTCCTGGATGTACTCGTAGTCTTTCTTCACGGTGAACCTTGTTGTTCCTTTCCATTGAAATTGTAGTGCTGCGTTGCCCATGACTGTCCAGTCATCTTTGCGTTGCGAAACTTCTCCAAAGTTGTTGTGAGTGATTGTAGTTCTGTGAGGCTCAAGTGTGCTGATTGGTGGATGTCCTGGTCCATGTGTTGGAGCGAATAGAGTTGTTCTAAGTGTTGTGTGGTGTCTTATCCAGTATTCACCTTGTCTTTCCCAGTAGTCTTGGTTGTCCTCCTGTGCTGTGAGTGGTCTGTGGATTGTCTCCTTTGGTTGTGTGGTGTCAAGATCTGTAGAAGGTGCTGCTTTAGGTCTCCATATCTTTTGTGGTGCTCGTAGTTGGATCTTTGGTCTGGTTGGTGATGTGTCCATTAGCCGTTGCGGTTGTGAGCTCTGCCTTGTTGGTGTGGTCTTTGATGTTGCTCTGCGTGTAGGTGTTATCTTTCTTCTGAATCTGGTTTCTCCAGTCCAGTTGTCACCTTCTAGTCTTCGTTGTAGTTCTTGCTTGGAAAGTTGTGTTGGGTTCTCTTGTAGTTGTTCTTGCTCTTGCCCATGTCTGTTGATGATGGTTAGTCGCCAATCATCTAGTTCTCCTTCAGGTATTGGGCAACCGCTGTTGTGTGGTGTGAATAATGCTTTGCGTGGTCGTTTGTGTACTCTGATGGCGTAGTCACCATCAAGTTTCCAGTAGTCAGCGTTTCCACCAAGGATCTGTCGTAGTCCTTGGTCTGTGTGGGTGAGTGGTGCAATTCGTTCTTGTTGTTGTACTGTTTTCTCCGTAGGTTGAATCACAGCAATGGATTTTCCATTGTCTGTAGTCATTGGGTAGATGTCGAATCCTGTAGGGATGTCGATCTTCTCTGCTCGTAGGTAGAAAAGTCCTGAGTGTCTTATAAGGTGTGCTTGTTGTTGTCCATGTGTGATGGTGTAGTGTCGTGGAGTGAAGTCAAGTCCATATCCTCTATCAAGTAGTCTTGATGCACTGAGGATTGGACACTTCACATCACAAACGTAGTAGGGTATCATGATCCTGAAGTTTTCCTGCTTGTAGGGAACGTGCTTGATGCCGTAGACAGGAATCTTCTTGTTTGTAACCGTGTAGAGTTGTGGAACTGATTCTCCACAAGGTCGTAGCGGCAGGTCTGGTGCGTAGTCCTTCGGGCAAACATGTGTAGATGCTCCTGAGTCGATCAACAGCTGGTGGTATGACTTGAAGTTGGAGTACATGATGTAGTGTGTGATAGTGTCCTCAATCTTCTTGTTCCTTTGTTGTTGTCTTGCTGCTGCTATGTCAAAGTGTGGCTGTGTGGTGTCTTCTTGTAGGAATTGTTGAAAGCTCTTGCTGTGGTCGTTCCATGATGTTGTGTGTGTTGTTCTCTTACCAAGTGGTGATTTGGATTTGTGCTTGTGTAGTCGTGAGTTTGCTTGTCTGATGTGTCCAATGGTAAGGTGTGACTCGTTGATGCCTCCAATATAGTTTGCTGTGTCCTCATAGCTGTTGTCATTCCAATCCCAGCTGTTGTCATAGTCGTAGTCGTTCCAGTTCTCCTCCATGTAGTTCACCTCGTGTTGTCCTTCTTCTCCTTCGTAGTACCAGTCCCAAGTGTCGTTCACATCCTGAGGTAGTTCTTCATTGTTGTCATGATCTGCTTGTTCTTGTTCTAGTGGATGTAGTTCTTCTCCTTCTCCTATGTGCCATACTGGCACTGTGCAGTCTTGTGCCCAGTGGCCAGGCTTGCCACATCGATGGCATGTTGTGTAGCTGTTGTTTCCTTTTCCTTTTGAGTTGCTGTAGTTTCCTTGGCCTTTGTAGCCTTTGCTTGATCCATATCCTTTGGATCCTGAGTAGCCTTTTCCTTTGCTCTTGTTGTATCCTCCTTTGTTGTAGTTTCCTTTGCTGCCTTTGTCGAACCCTTTGTAGCGCCCTTTACTCCTGTACTTGCCTTTGCTCTTGCTTCCTTTGTAGCTGCCTTTTCCTTTTCCTTTGCCTTTGTAGTTTCTTCCTTTCCTCCATATGTTGTCAACATCCATTGGTGCAGCTCCTCCATTGTAGTTTGTTCCTACTGCTGAAGTAGATCTGGTGAAGGCTGAAATCGTCTTGTAGTAGTCCAAGATGATGTAGTTCGTGATCTGTCCAGCTCGCAGTTGGAGGTGTTGCTGCAGTGCTCCTTTGGTTTTGTTGAGTAGTATTGCTATTATGATTCCATCTGGTAGTGCTGTTCCATTGTCTTTCTCGTAGCGGTTGATGTCGTATTCCCATTGTAGAAATGGTTCTTCAAACTGCGCTTCGTTGAATGTAGGTTCCAGTAGTTTGGTAAGGTAGCCAACGCTTCTTGTTCCTACTGGTAGGCTGAACCTGTTGTGTAGTAGTCGTAGTTTTTCCTATCCGTTTGCGTTGTAGCGGTTTTGCCTTACTACTGTAGCTGCTGCTCCCTGACAGATGTTGATGAGGATGTAGTGTAGATCTCGTGAGAGGTCTACTGCTTTTGTTGCTTGTGTAGGGTCGCGTATGTGGGCTCTTATGTCTGTGTCCTCAATCTGACGTGTAGCCACTTGTGCTAGTTGTAGCACCAGGTCGAAGTCTCGGTCTATGAGGCCGAGGTATGCTTGTAGCTTGAACAGCCATTCTTCATACTGGGAGTAGTCACCAGTGAAGAAGGGTGGTGGCAGTTTGTATCTATGTAGTCTCTGAACGTCGTTGTCTTGTTCTGTTCCTGCTCCCGTAGTTGTGGCTCCTACTGTGTCTGCTGTTGGCCCGTTCTCTGCTCCTGTAGTTTGTTGTGCTGAGGCTGATGCTGCTTCTCCTGACATGTCGTAGTAGTTTGGCATGTGACTGCTGTTGCTGTGGTTGTAGTACTTACTGCTTACTGGAGCTCCCCTATGTTTAGGATCTCAGCTCCGCTACCACGTTAAAATCGGTGGTTACTTTGCTTCCAAGTGCAAGTGCTGTAGTGTTCAAACAAACAGTCAACCGATTGTAGTCTGCAGCAATCCACCTTTTACACATGCGATGTAGTGAGCTCTGCAGTACATGCAACACAAATGCAGGAAGTGAAGCATGTAGTTTGACAAGAGAGAGAGAGAGAGAGAGAGACTGAGAGAATGAGATAATGAGATAATGACAGAGTGCGAGAGAGAGAGAGAGAAGAGGCAGAGAGAGACAGAGAAGAGGCAGAGGAAGAGAGAAAGACAGACGCAGCGACCGGGGAGGGGGGAGGAGCCAGAGAAACGAGGTGGGGAGAAAGCGGCATAGCGAGGAGGTAGAGAAAGAGAAAGGCATAGAGAGGAGGGAGAGAGATCAAAAAATAAGGAGGAGGAGAGAGAGAGGGAGAGAGGACGAGGGAACAAAGCGGGGAAGGGAAAAGAGAGAGAGGGAGAGGAAGAAAGAGAAAAGGGAGAGGCCAATGAAAGGCGGACTGAGCCGGAGGCTCTATAAAGTATAATATTCTTGCATACACACAGCAAAACATATGTAGTGTAATATTGACGTGAGATGAGCATTACTATTTTCAACCGTCGAATCAAGGAAAACCGCCAGCTTGTGCGCAAAGACTTCAAGGTAGTGGTGGGCTCATGGAAGCAGTTTTTGCTTGTTCGACCTCCTGCTCACTTTTAATTAATCGGTCAAAACCACAGCTTTAGGGTTCGAAGTTTTGAGGATGCCCCGTTTGGGGTGTTTGTTTGAAGGAGAGCCAAACATGGTTCCAACTCGATGTCGCCTTTTCTACCTTTTGTTTCATGCTTGTCTCTCTCTGGTGTCGCCGGGCGCCCCTGCCTGCAGGCGTAGTCTCTGAAGGCTCCCCAGAATCCGCCGCCCCAGCCTGAACACAAGGCCAAGGCAGGTCGGAAGGCAAGAATTCACATATGCCGCAAGTTTGGGGAGTAGTGAGGGCTCACAACACTCTAATTATTGTACACATAAATGTTCTGTGTAATATGCATATGCATACTTGTAGCTAATTGCGTTCGAAAATGCTTTGCTATTGCTAACCATAAGATACAATAGGCTGAGGCATAACATTAGCCTTGCTTCCCTACCTGCAATGTTTAGGAAACATAAGGAGGCAACTTCAAACACTGCCACTCTGCAGCTTCCCCTTCCCCACAAACTGCTCCGATTCGCGCCGAGGCAGGAACTGGCAAGCGCGGTCTCCGTAGAAGTAGACCCCATCCTGCGCGGAATCCGGCACTCAAAACGGGGGCCATCGCATAATTACCCGTCCAAACCTTCCGCCATGCAATAAACAACCTGCAATAGGTCATGAAACAAGGCTTGAAATTGTTCAAAAGGGGAAATACAAGGAGCCCGGCAATACCAAAAGCCCAACACTTACAAATGCAACAACCACAACAAAACTCAACGCGCTTCCTGGTGTTCCGTAAGAACAAACACAACATGGTTGACAAAATAGGGGCTACAATGTGCCTCCCCACAAAAAGGTCAGCATTTGGTCAACCCTCCGCACAAGCCCTGCAAACAATCTAAAATCTTGATCACACACCCAATCTGCATTTGTTCAGAAACAAATCTGACTTGTACCGTACATGAGTCTAGCACCATGGGACACCATAGGGACAGTTTCACGTTCGAAGCCTACCATGGACCTACCCAGAAACAACAAAATCAGGGGATGGTGCAGGGCTTCCCTGTGTGGGGCTTGGGTTGGTCATTGGAATTCCGATAGACCTTGCCTGAGTTTGGGCCAACGCCACATTTCCCTCTACGGCAATTGCACAGTGTTAGCATGGCAGTTTCCGCGACAAGGGTCATCCTGGAAAACCTACTCTTGCCCTGAATCAAAGGCGAAGCTATGCAAACCGCAGCCCCTTCTAAGGAATTGCTCATATGACCAGGTCTGCAAGAGTCAAGTATCCTTTCAGACCTGAAATTGCACCATGCCAAAGCCCAAAAGCAAACTAAGATCAGTTTCAACACTCTGGTGACCTGGTGGAAGATACCCCAAATGCATTTTGGGATTTCGGGGTGGTCCACCCACCCAGCATGTTTGGGTTTGGCACCGGGCCAACATCATGTGCACATTCTGGTGGGGGGGGGGGGGGGATTCTAAAGACCCTCCTGTTGCTAAAGAAGTCGTTCACTGGGGAGACGGTCAAAGCTGAAATGTCTATGCATTTGCATGGAAAGTGAGCCTTTGCTTGCTGCGTGTCCAGAAACCAGGTGTTCGTCTCCCGAATCTCTTCGATGCGGCTGCTGTGGCTGTCGTCCTCGCGAAAGCAATTCCAGTTGCCATGGTCGATTCTGAGGCCAAACACAACCCATTCTTCTTGGCGGGAAACAATCCAAACCATTTTTTCAAGAGACCACAAACATCCCGGTGATTTGTAGCTGCTCGCCACAGGAGCTTTAATTTGGTACCATCCCTCCAAACACGCTTATAGATGTTCCTTGCGCTTTCCAAGGCAAATGCATCAGACACTCCTTTTCCCTTTAGGATAAAGGTTTGAATAGGTTGTTCAAAAGGAGGGATGCGAGGGATCCTTATTCTAAGTCAGTAATCCGAAGTGGGACATCACCACAAGGGAAACAGCTACCGGGGTGCACAAGGACGAGGAATCTGCAAAAAGCAATCCTTCCCAAATAAGCAGTCCCCAAGTAAAGGACCTACATCATGGTGAGCTCGTTAAAGCTGCCCCCTTTACGTCAAGTGCCCGACCACCTATTCAAAGGACCTCCTTTTTGAAAAGGGGGGCGTCAAAAATTGAGGAACACCGTTTGGAAGGTGTAAGCACCAAAAGGTCAACCAGAATTGGGTCCAAACGTGTTTGCCCAACCCTACAAAGGTCATGTGCGGGTTGTTTGGCTCGCTGGTGCTTGGAAACCTCCAACTTCTGCATTTGCTTCTTTCTTTGTGGGCAAAAAGGCAATCGGGTTCCTGCTCGTTTGTTCGGTCCATCTGTGAACACCAGCCCCTGTTGGATGACAGACCTTCTTTAAGGAGGGTACGTTGGGGGACTGTAATTAATGCCAAATGTCTTGCACTGCTCGCAACATTTTACTTCCCCTCAACCATCACCCCTGAAGGGAATCACGAATTGAGCCTTCCAATAAGTTGTGAAAATCACCCAGACATAGGGAACTCTGCCCAATCCCGTTGTATGTTTAGTTTTGTTGTTTGAATCACCGACGGCAACTTGTGGTTTGGGCCCACCTGCGGTTGCTCGGGCACCTTGGGTACAAAGAACTCCGACTCCATCTGCCGGTTGCCATACCTGGCCAATCGCCGACCATCCGTGCGACGAAATGACTCAAATGCCCATCAAAAGGATTACTTGAGTCTCCTTGGTGGCTATTTGACAGCCCTGCCTGGAAATCATTCACCAGCCGGAAGTAAGGGACCCAAGAGAAAAGAGACTTAACATGGGTTGGGTCGAAGACTCCTTTTGCAAGGTCGTGATTGCATTTGCCCAGAATAATATCGTTGACTTGATCGTGAAGTGTCCTACCATAGGGCATGTCTAGATGTGTCCCTTAACCAAAGGCATCAAGCAGTATGACTAAGCCAACACTTTTTTAACCATTCTTTTTGAAGCAGCTGGGTGGTCGGCCTTTTGGCTGGATCCCAAAGCCCGAGCCAACTGGAAGCAGCTGGGGTGGTCATGATGTTTGGATCCGTCTAAAAGTGAAGCACGCCTTGCTATGTGGGGACGTGTCAAAATAGGGGAACACCCCAAAATAAGTACTCTTTCTTTTTTCCTACAAACCATGGAGAGGGGTGTGGTGTTGTTTTTGCTAGATCCACGAATCCTGATTTAACACAAGGTCCCCCATGTGCATCTAAACTTATCTAAACTAGATGTGGTTTTGGCAAAAGGAAAAGCAGCCCACGGCCACGGGCTGTGAGCAAGAGCGCGACTTCACCCGGGGCCTGATGGGTCTGGGGGTCTGAATTTCCCAGAAAGTGATCGATATAAACACGGTGAGTACCAAGTTTTCCCTTGAAATTAGTGGCTCGGGGAAAAAAAACTTGCACCCTACTCTTGCAGGGGCCCAACGAACCCTCATGACACGTTGTGCCATTTATTTGCCATATGCAAAGAGGCGTTGCTTTCGAAAATGTTTGCTAGAGGAAACTGCAGTCTGAGAGCAACTGGAAGCCTGAGCAGAATTCACACGGTTCAACCGGCTCAAGCTGACATTTGTTCAAGCAACATGTGATACAATCGATCAGCCTGGAAGCGGCATACTTGTAACTCAGAAACCCGTGCATCCCTCGCAAATGCCGCATACACAGTGCAATAGCTGTGCTCTCGATTGGTTCAATAGCGCAAGCAAAACTCAATTTCACTTGTCGCAAAAACCCAGAGTTTACTACACCCCTGCAGAATAACATGGAACCCAACAAGCCAAAGGAATCTCCTTCTAAGGGACTCCTTTTTGGGTTCCATGTAAAACCGAAGGGGAAGTTGTTAACTTCTTGGTGCCATGATTAAGAAGCTACTGAAACCAACAGCAAGGTGGACGAGCGAAGCGAATCCGGCGAGCTCCGCAAGGTCACATGCCCTGCTGCTGGCCGTACATTCCTCCCATCCCTCCACGCCTCGGACAGGGTTTGGTGAATCAAAGGGGTAGGTGTACCAGGTGCATGGAACATCTCTGGACCAACAAACCGGCCAACACCAAAAAAAAACATTCAACGCTTCCCTAGACAGTGGATCAAGAAGCAACTGCTTGCAGCTTCTACATGTGGGTGGGGATGTCCTCCATCGACAAGCACGAACATAAAAAGTACAGGTTGCCCGAGGCGAGCAATGCCTTCCAGTGATATATTTCCAATGCAATTTGACAGTGGACAACTTGCAAAAGTCTCCCACCCCATTTACTTCCGTAGGAGGGAACGTAGGACTCCTGCTTTTGGCACCTCCGTTGACATCTGAGCGCCAAGAAATGCCAAGGGCGGCGCCCGTACATGGATCCCATGCCGCCCATGCCGCCATACATGGATCCCATGCCGCCCATGGATCCCATGCCGCCATACATGGATCCCATGCCATAGCTGCTGCCGTAGCCGCCTCCATAGCCACCCCCGTATCCGCCGCTGTACCTGCCACGAACCCCGACGGGTTTTTCTTCCGAGAGTGTTTCAAATCGTGAAGGTCATGTTGAAGGATCACTTCTCATTTATGGACCTGTCTGCATCCCCGTTCAAAGAGCCAACATGTCCGGACAGCATGATTGTGGAACATACCCTTTCTAGGATACCGAAGCGGGGCATGTTCAGAACTAATTGTCCCAACACTGATTGGTTAGGTTGCAGAAGTTGAGATTGACCGCTGCATCTCAGAGTTTGCAAACTTGAAACACCAATAAATCAACAGCCGCTTTACAGGGGCCCAAATACGTCTGGGCCATGAGACTGTTACCAATATGGCAACAAACAAGCACTTCTTTCCGACCAAGGACAAACACTGTGTGCTCAGGACATGCCCATGGAAAGCCCACCACCGGCTGCGTTGTCCACACAAATATGTCCGATGAAAACTCGGTAGAATGGTGATCACAAAGGGAATTCCCCCCCAAATGGACAAATTGTGACAAAATCCTATTGGGGGCGAACCAAAGCCTAAAGCATCAAGCGCGATCAAATCCAAAGGTCACAGTATCAAAAGTTCCAAATGCAGTTTCAAGCAACGAGTCGTTTCCAACCCTGGGCAAGTAGAAAACTCGCCGGACAAGGAAAGCAACCGGACAAAAACCGATGTTCTGCCCTTGTGGTTTGGTCAGCTGAAACAAGCTTGGCATGAACCCTAGGGGTTTCCATTCCAATCAATCTTGACAGACTTGCATTTCGTCCAGGCCCGTCAGCAATACTCCGAAACTGAACCCACTGTATGCTCCTGGCACCCATTCGGTCAAGGCTCTTCATTAAGGCTACTCCTGTTTCCCACTTTGCCCGACAGGGATTCCCTTCAAAAACCACAAGTAAATTAGTGGGAGGAAGTGAACTCGCCTAGAAACCAGTCAGCACAAAAAGCGATCCGCGTGGACGACAGCTTGGTGAATCACAGTGAGCTTTCAATCTGAAACACTTGTTTACCTGGGTAAGGTTGGTCTACGCCAACATCAGGTTGCATGACAAATGATCCAATCTCTCTCTAGCAATCATGCAAGCTGAGCCGAGACTTCGACGAAAACCATCCTCTCGAACAAGTCCAATTCCACTAAAAAGGCATGGGGTTGACACACTGGTGACCCTACTTTTGCGGGGACCCTTTGAGGGCGAGAGGGAGGCAGCAGCACCAAACAAATTCAACGGCAATGTCTAACAAGCCCCAGAGTTCAAAGGATGTACGTATTATAGAACTGCTCCTGGGCCCGCCCCAACCTTCCCAACACTTCCACTTTGGTCTTTCAATTTGTTCTCTTCCGGGGATGGTCTGCTTGCGGGGCTTCCCTCGGGAGCAGCTTGGATGTATCCCGCAGGGCACATTGAGCTGCCGTACGTCGAGCTATTCCCGTACCTCGCGAGTCTCGGGCCGCCCTGCCTGCCGCTTCCACATGTCGCAAAAACTGAACGTTGCTCCATAAAGAAGTGAATCGTGCCCCCTTATTCTGCTCAAAGCCACTGAACCGACTTATATGATGATAAACCTGCACGCAAACACACACACACGCACACAAATTCAAAGTCGAAATCACAAATTTCCACAATGCACCTTCATCATGGCCCGAGCTTGTTTCCTCCAAGGCAAGCTCGCTGTAATTTGTCTAGCTGCAGTGAAGCTTTCAATGATCCCATTTAGTGGATGCTGTCTGTTATTCATGGTTTCTGTCGATCCTTGAGGTTTCGTCCCTCGTCACAACTGACAACAGCGCTGTTTCGGGAACGTAGGAGCAAATTGCAGCTCCACGCTGCACGACAAGCGAACTACTGAAGAAGCCACAAGGTGTTGCCAACAACCCCCTGTGTTGGAGGATGTTGAAGAGAAACAACAGGTGAATCTACTACTGAAAGCTGATAGGTGCTTTCAACTTCACAGCACCCTCGCCTTGTTGGCAGGTTTTGACAGCAACAACATGCAAGCCTCAAGGCCTGCTCCTGGGATCATGCGTGTGGTACATCTTGTTTTTTGGGGAGGCAGGGATTCATGAGCCAGAACCCAACAAAGTGGGGCTAAAGTAAATGGTATTTACAAATACAACCCACATTCTGATTTCCTGGTACCCTCCACTCATGAACATGGAATCTGACTGGGTCTGGTAAGTTCCATGGGTAGCTCGTGGGTTCTTCTGATTGTACGCCGATGGAACGCATAGAACGGCTCACGCACCGCCGCTGGCATAGGAGGACGATGGTGTGGCCCTGGCAACGATGCACTGGGCGCCAAATTCGGTGAACATCTGGCAATTCCAACACCACTCAAGTAGGTATCCGTGATGCTTACCGAAACAGCTAAGTGTAGCTGTGGCCTGGGCCTCGCTTGCGCAAGTCAAGGGACAAAGCATCCATGGGGTTAGGCGATGGTATGGAGTAGTGCGATGCTACTCGGAGAGGCTAAGACCCGGCCGGACCATTCAAGTTGGAGCGCTTCATGCTCACGCCGTGCCATGGAGACCACAACAAGTCCGGCTATCCACGGGGCGATCCGCAGGTTTCTTCAGCCATCGTTGTGTTCAAACACCTCCCAAGATCCTGTTTGTGCGGCGAACAGTGCTGCTCTTAGCCTTTGAGAAGCGGCGCTTCAGGGTGTAGAAGAAGAAGAAGAAGTAGAGGCAGTAGCAGTAGCAGAATCAAAAGCAGAAGCAGTAGAAGAAGCAAGAGCAGAAGCAGAAACAGAAGCAGAATCAGAAGTAAAAGCAGATGCAGAATTAGATTCAGTTCAGTAGCAATAACAGAAGCAAAAACCGCAGCAGCAGCAGCAGCAGCAGAAGCAGCAGCAGAAGAATCAGAAGCAGCGGCAGGAGCAGAATCTGAATCTGAATCAGAGGCAGTCGTAGTAGCAGTAGTAGTAGGTCGTAGTAGGTCGTAGTAGGTCGTAGTAGTAGTAGTAGCAGCAGCTAGTAGTAGTAGTAGTAGTAGTAGTAGTAGTAGTAGTAGTAGTAGTAGTAGTAGTAGTAGCAGCAGCAGCAGCAGCAGCAGCAGTTAGTAGTAGTAGTAGTAGTAGTAGTAGTAGTAATAGTAGTAGTAGTAGTAGTAGTAGTAGCAGTAGCAGCAGCAGCAGCAGTAGTACGTAGTATGTAGTACAGTAGTCGTAGTAGTAGTAGTAGCAGTAGTAGTAGTAGTAGTAGTAGTAGTAGTAGTAGTAGTAGTCCACATACATCCACAGGTTGCACAATCAAACCCAGATCTAAAAACGTCCATAAGCAGGTTGGAGGAAATTCCCTCCCGCTGTGATAGCAGTGGAAGGATCTCACAGCGACCCATTTCTCGGTTGAACGAAAGAGAAGGTTCTCTGGTACTACAAAGCACGAAGCAACGGATGATGCTGGAAGGCGCCATCTGGATGTCGGCAAACCTTGTGTATGTATACAGCATCACCGAATAATTTAACTCTCCTCGCCCAATTCCCCGCGATAGGCATCCCTTATCCCTTACGGGGTTGAAGAACACACAAAAAAAACACTTCGGTGCTCCTAGACGTAGTTCACGCCATCTGCTCATTGTCGGCATTCCAAAGCACGTGGGTGGAGATCCACTCAGATGTTCTGCTCATGAACTGCCTTTTTTTTCCTATTTGTCAACATTGGGTCTTCTTTGCCAATTATGGACGAATCAGAATAATTCACCAACCGAAAAACAAAGGACCCTTCAAGGAAAGTACCCTTTGTCGCCGGTAAGGTTGCTGTGCTTTGCCCATCTCCAGCTGGGCTGTGGCCGTGTAACGGCCAAATTCAACCTGCTACAGGCAACATCTGCCCAAGTACTGTATTTCGCAAAGCCAAAATCGGGAAGCCTTTGTCGTGATGTGCAGAAACTTGTGGTGAGCTTGATTGCCCTTATCATCTTGTTCAGGTAACATTGTGGGTCTGATTGCCAACATTACCTTTTCTGGGTGAACAAACCA